TTGCTTACAATCATTTCGTTAGAAAATAGTAGTATTAGTTAGTGACTATTTTATCGATTACAACAAAATAAAGCTAGAGATTTTTTCACTACTGACTTACACCTCATACACAGCTTGCGAACTTAAGAAAAAAGTTTATCTCATATAAGCTAGCTAGTGGACTTTTTAATCGTTATATATAAGTGTTTTTGCCTTCCTTGAATGTGAAGTTCCCACATGTATTTAAACCAGTTATACCTTTGGCTAGATATTTTGCCTATGAATCATAAATTTGTAGCAATTTGATTATACTTTGGTATAATATAGGTATGGTGGCAAATAAGCGAATTATGTGGTTGTGAATTGAACATTTCTTTTCTAATATATAGTACAGTTGAATAATAATTAAGTTTCAATTCTTCGTTTAGTTGTAAGTATGATTTCAAGTAGTTGGATTATGTTAGGTAAGTACTTTATCAAGAAAACAAACAATTATATTTTAATATAATGTTTTTGCAATCAAATATTCGGCAGGTTTGTCATATGAGTTGAAAATCTCTAGTTAAAGGTATAACCTTAAAATAAATTTAGCGTTTGAATGGTTGTGGCTGATAAATTTGTTGTGAATAGAATAGTTTTTTGTTTATCACTCATAAATTATAAATTATAAGTTATAGTGATGCGTACCAAAAAAATTATAGATTAATTTCAAACCGCTTTTATATATAAATTCTTAATAAATTATTGTCCGTATGATCCAAAAATAATGTAGCCTAAACCACTAACGGATTGGTTTATCTTATCCACCATATCTATTCAAAGCATGCTAATTGTTATTATGAAAGAAAGTAAAATCTAACAAATGTTACAAGTGATTCGTCCAAAACTGTTACTAAAACAAGTGATTTGTCAAAAATAGTAATATATCAAAAATAGTATGTTTCTTTAATAATTTCAAGAAAAAGCTTATGTTACTGGGAAATAGGACAAAAGATCTTGAGGCGAAAGCAAATATCAAGTTTTTAGAAACGCGTTTTCTCTTAAATTTGAGACAATGATTTAATAACACATTTTGTCTTTTTATATAACATTCTCTATCAGATTTATTGATAATGATTTATATTTTCTTCTCTAACACTTTTTATTATCATTTCTAAATTTGGGTGGTTACAAACTTTTTTTGGTAAGTGATGTTTTATTATAATTGATTTGTGTTACCACTTTAAAATTTGATAGAACCGATGAGCAAAAGGTGTCACTAGCTTTGCTTTGAAGAACTGAAACCAATAACGCGTTGACGTGAGCTTTTGGTTATTTGTAATTCGATCCCAATTATATTGTCTATTGAATCTTGTGAAAATATTTATTTCTTTTTTTTTCAAATTAAATGTACATTAAAAATATAAAAAATGTATAGTACTAGTGATAACTATATGAATTTAATTTTCGTAGGACCATGTCTATGTTCATGAATCTCATCAACTGTTTTTTTATTTATAACATTTGAGACCATATAAATATAATATAATATTCAAAATCATAGTATGATTTAAACCGTAATATTATTTTTATCGACACAAATTGTAATAGTTTAAACTTATTTCTAGAACTCATTTGTACATATCAAATATGTAATATTCAAAACTATATAGTTTGATTTAAACCGTCGTATAATTTTTTCGATACGATAATCGAATACACGAAATTTATTTAAAGTGTATAAAACTCTTTTCGAAAGTGAATTTAGAGTATATATCAAAGTAGAACCATTGATCTACGATATTAAAATACTCTCTTAATTTGTTAACCAACAAATCTTAAGAATAAGTAGCAATTCTTCACAATTCCGATTTTATTTTATTTTATTTTAGTTTTGTTTTATTAGACGCTTTAAATAATAATGAGTTACGAATAAAACACGACAACATCATATTCCACCGAATTTAGAGTTGTAGAGAAAGCGACGACGACAGTTTTAGTATGCAAACAAATTTTTGAAAAAATATAGCACACTTTAAATCACAAATTTCAATGTCTCTTTCAAACAAAATAAAAACTATATAGTAAAATAAAATTATATACGACAAATCATATGTCAAAGTACTGGAACATACAAAAAGAGTTAGGCAAGCCTCATGATTCTACAGTTCTAAGTCCACTTGTCTTTTGAGTACGGGACCAGACTATGTTATCATTAGCCATTCAACTTAATTATGATATTTAAACTCTATTAGTTAGAGTTATGCTCATGAAGAAGATAAGCTCAAATTGATATATCTCTTTTGTAACATTATTGTTTTTCAGTATTAATGTTATATTGATTCCTCAACAATAAAATACTGTTTTGTACATCTATGTGAGTTAATAGAATTTTTGAAACATCCAAAAGAGGGAATATCAAAACAAACTTGGTAGTCTTTTCTTTTTGTCGTTGTCAAAAAGATTGTTTCAAATTTACATAGTTTCGTTTTCTCAAAATCGATCGTCGTTCTCTCCATACTCAATCCAATTTCCACATTTCTGACACTATCTACCATTATAAGATTTAACTGAAAACATGAGATTTCTGTTCGATTTTAAGGGTTTTAAGATTTGTTCGATTTTGTGGGGTTTTAAGATTTACCGAACAAAATTAAACCTACAAACTTTTTAGATCTTTTGAAATTAATCGAAAGAGTATGTATACAAAAATCGAACACGAAAAGTATCTAGGGCTTTTGAGATATATATATCGAAAGAAATTTTTGGAATATACATATATAGACTATCAACCTCTTAAATATCAACTTGATCTCCTTACTTAACATAGATCTTAACTAGGATAGTTTATGGTCTAAATTGTTCAAAAATACATGAACTACTAGTAAGACCATCATTAACGGAAGATGTGGAAGGATGATGCTTAGTGATAATAAATTAATATATTAACGGGAGATGTGGGAAGATGATACAAGAGGATCCACTCAGCACTTGCCACGTCGTCTAATATCTGAGCCAAACGTTTTAACATGGAGATGAAGACAACGTTGATGAAGGTTATGGTGGACTCCATGAGTAACATGAGGATAGTATTATGGACCCATGCATTTTCTACATAAACGATAATGATTCTTGATTGTCTTAATCCTACTTACTGTTGGCGATACATAGTCCGATGTCGCGTATAATCTCAATAACTTCGACCACAACTTTTTGAGCATAAAAATTTAAATGACCATTGTTTGCAATTTGCATGAAGAATCCATAATAAATTAGCCACATATTCTTTTATGACCATAGACAAGAATTGATCTAGTGCTAACCATTTGCAATATGTTTTGGCTTTAGAAAAGATTTTGGCACCGAGTTCATCCTTTCTTTAAAATCGAAATCAACTCAAGTGTAACAATCTTCAAAGAATGAAAATATAATGAAAACGAGAAATCGTAGTTACTAATTCATCTGTCAGACAATTACCTTTTTTTATAAATATGTGAAATTCGGACTAACCAGTTCTTTCTGATGAATTTTTTATTTTTTTGGAAATTAAAAGTTAATAATGAAACTAAATTTATTTTTCTCTTTTCTTTCTCCACCTACCTCTACTAGCATCAAATATAACGTAATTCTTTTCTAATTTCCGAAGGAGAAAATTCCAGATGAAAAAAACTGAATCCAAAATTATTATTCATTGATGCAAAAGCATAATTCATACATCATACAAAGTCTAGTCTTTACCAACTAATAGATCGATCTTAAGATTATGTCTATATTACTGATGCTAAGCAAGACAAAAATTAAAAAAAAAAAGTTATTAAGAGAAACTTATCATATCATTCATCAGGGCTAATTGAGTTTAACACAATTGAGTCCCCTAAAGTGTTTTTGAGCAGCACGATTTTCTTCTACCGCCTTGTCGACGACCTCTTCGCCTTGCTCTTCGTCAGAAAAGATCGTAAGTAGATGAACAAGAATGTCCATGATACAATCAAGAAGAGAAGCCTTTGAATGATCCATATGTGTACTGATCGATCTCTTGTATTAGATTGCAAGAGAGGGATGATGATGAGTATTTAAAAGTAAAAGTAAAGAGAGGTAGTGGTGTATTTATCTAATTCCTAATGAAAAGTCAAAAAGAGTGACTCAGATGTCCACGAACTAAAAAAAGTCCTCAACACTTCTTTTGTTGATTTAAACCTAAGATGCATATCACTATAAGATACATAGAATTTAAACCGAAGAGATATATACTTTTTTAATTTTTTTTTTATAAAACCATTTTATCATTATTAGAAAGTATTATATCAGATTTAATATATATTGATGATTTATGGTGAAATAATTTATAAATATAGCTAATTGGAAAAAGAGACATGTAGGAGTTTTATGTTTGTCTAGAGATGAAATTACCAATTTTCTCTATCTCTTAAATATTCTTTAATTACTAATTTTTTTTTTGAATTTCTAAGACATATATATTAATTATTTTAAATAAGGATCATATATCATTTTGAAAAAATTATTCATCCCATATTTTTTTTTTCTAATGTACAATATAATAAGTTTTTAATAATTTAAGGGTTATTAAATTTTTGTGTTAATTTTGAAATAATTTCTAAGATCATAATTTTTCGAGGATAAAATTATTTATAAAAAATAATTCTTTGGAGATATGTTTATTTATATAAAATAATTATATGAAAATAAATTAATATTATAAAATTATGTATTTATTTTCCGGATTCCAAGTGAGCTGTTGACTTAACCGAGTGAGCGGTTTGACTTAACAAACTCATACAGTTAGAGAAAACAACGAACGGCCAGGATCAAAACCAATTCCCCAACCACAATCTAAAACCGTCAGATTCAATGGCAATCATGTAAATAATACTAATCCTCAAGGGCATTTCTAAAACTTCACACAGATCACATTTTGTTTCAATTCGAGCGGGTAAACTCATAACAGAGCTCATCGTCTTCTTCATCATCATCATCACCATCGAATCCTAAAACCCTAAAATTTTCACAATCTAAATCGAACAATGCCGATACCAATCATCGAAACGTGCCGTAAGAGAAAGAGGAAGCCCAAAGTTTACAGCTCGTTACGGTTCGGCGAAGATGGGGTTCCGATTAACCGGAACGGATCGTTTCGGGATCAGATTAGGGTTTTTTTGCGGGATTGTGCTGATGTAGAGGATTATAATGTTCGTGGTATGCCTGTTTGGTGTACGCTTCTTGGTCATGAGACGACGAGCTCTGTTGTTCCGCTTTACACCGTTGAAGAAGATGTTGCTCGTTCTTCGGAACCTTATTGCGATCAATGTCGATGCACAGGTTCGTGCGATTGGTTTTGTGGTTTCTGGGTTTGATTTCAATTTGGGTTTAATCTATTTGGTTGATCAATTTGGTGTTTGATGAGATTTTGTGAATTGAGTTTTTTTGGAATATGGATTTGTTTCGATTAGGGTTTACAATTTTTTGTGGGATTGAGATTTTGATTACTGTGTTTGATGATTATGTTGAGATTGAGACTTTTGAGTAATGGGTTTTGGATTGTTCGATTTTGATTTGGTTTCAGATTGAGACTTATGAGTGATGGGTTTTGATGAGTATGAATCGTAAGATGTTGTTACTAAATAGGAATTTGTGAGTATTGATTCAGCTAAGTATTTGATGATAATGTTAACTCGTGATTCTTTGTATTGGTTTCACTGTTTCAGATTAGTATGTAGATTTTAAGATGTTGTTGAGCTGAGAGTCTAAGTACTGGTTTCACATTAGTAATGTATTTTTAAGGTGTTGTAGAATGGAGATTCTGAGTGTTTGAGATGAGTGAGTGTATATGAAGACGTGGGATTTTGGATTCATTTCTGTAACTGATGAGGATCAATGGTTGGATTAGTCAGATTTGGTGGCAGTTCTTGACTTTGATTTTGTGTTTTGTTTAGGGTGGAGCAATCATTTAGTGTCAAAGAGGAAGTATCACTTTATAATACCAACTGATTCTGAGTGGAATATGCCATTAGAAGATGATGTTTTTGATCTACAAATTCATCTCTTACATGGAGTGATTCATGGTAATGGATGTGGTCATTTGATCTCCATCAATGGTATGGAAGGAGGTTCTAAGTATATGTGCGGAAGAGAAATCGTTGATATTTGGGATAGGATTTGTAATAGCCTTGGAGCACGGTAATTGATATCACATTCATCTAGTCTTGTTGCTTTTGTTGGATTTTTTTCTTTTGCATGATTGGGATTTGGGAGATTGATAGAATGTGTTCTTGTTGCAGGATGATAACTGTTGAAGATTTCTCTAAGAAGAGATCTCTTGACCTGAGGTTGCTTTATGGTGTAGCTTATGGCCATTCCTGGTTTGGTAGATGGGGATACAAGTTCTGTCGTGGAAGTTATGGTGTGACCAAGGATGACTATGAGAACGCAATAGAGCTTCTTGGTTCACTAGAACTTGATCAGATAGACGTTGATTTCAGTGAGCATCAACAAACTAAAGATATCAAACAAGTTATTCGGCATTACAGAGAAATGAGTGAAGGTCATTTGAGGACATTCCGAGATCTTTTGCGGTTTATGCTCATCATCAAGTCACATGCTTCTCCCCAAAAGCTTCTTCCTGCGACTCCTCCTCTCCTGACAGATTCTCCTCATCCAAAAAGATCAAACAGGTTGCTTTTGAAGAAAAGTGATATCGCTCATAATGAGAAGTCTCCGAAATATAGGAACTATAGGACTGTGGCAGCTAACTTGGGTAGTAGATGGCCTGTGAGGAGACTGGAATTTGCAGCTGAAGTGATAGTAGAGTCACTGAAAGAGATGAAAGCAATGAATCCAAATGGTATGACTCGGCAAGATGTTAGGGATTCAGCTAGATTGCATATTGGGGATACCGGTCTGCTGGATTATGTGCTCAAGTCTATGCACAATGTGGTCATTGGGAATGTTTTGGTCCGGCGTTATGTTGATCCCATTACACGTATTCTGCATTATACAATACAGGAGCTTGGTGATGCAATGAAAGCCATAGAACCAAAGAAAGAAGAAGCTGTTGTGCTAGCAGAGATTACTCCTTTGAGGATTTTTACTCCATTGAAACCTGGAGCTGATGTTTATGGAGATCTGTTATTACTATACACAAATGTGTTGTTGAACTATCCAGAATCTGAGCAAGTGAGATCTGCAACTCAAGCTATCCTAGACAGCAAGTTCTTCATAAAGGAGTGGTCTATATGGGACAACAATGAAACAGTCTTACAATATGTTTGCCGTATCAATCCAAGTTTACTTGATTTCAGATCAGAACAGGCCACAGAGCTCCCTCCAGGTGAATTGGTCACAGTTCCAATACAAGCCACAGTCTTTGATCTAAAGCGAGCCATTGAAGAAACTTTCAGAGATACTTACTGCATCTTAGAAAATTTTGTGGTGAGTGAGATTGAAGAGATCAAGGAAGGCATGGGTTTGACCGAGTCTTGTTCTGCATTAACAGTGAGAGGTCATGGGATTGACTTGGAATCAAACCTGAAGTGTCAAGGTGGATGTGATACATGGATGGTGAAATGTGTTTGCAGAGCTAGAGATGATGATGGTGAAAGGATGATATCATGTGATGTCTGTGAAGTATGGCAGCATACAAGATGCTGTGAGATTGATGATTCAGACACTTTGCCTCCACTTTTCGTGTGTTCGAATTGCTGTGAAGAATTTGCAGAACAACAGAGGAAACTGTTGCAGCCAAAATATGAATTTCCAAGTTCAGACAACATGTTTCTGATTGAATCTGCAGATGATTTCTATGGTGATCAGCAGAGATGTCTTGATTTGATTTTCCCTGAAGAGAACTATCTCCTGTAAAGCCAATTTTGGATCAATCTATGTAGATAACTCAATTCTTTTGGTAAATGAAACAAAACTGTATTAGACTTGTGTTGTGTTGTGTTGTGGTATACAAGTTTGGTTAAAGACTCTGCTACAAAGAGAGGTTTGTAAAAAAAATTGTGTTTCCTCTATATACAAATGTATAACTGTATTTGTATCAAAATGGTTTCTTAACATGTTTAAACTCAGTTGAAGAAGAGTAAGAACGATCAACAAAACCATTCGTCTTCATAACTTTGTTCATCATCTTCAACAACTCAGTAACCTTCTCCTTAGTGCCTTCACCACAACCAACTTGTAACATCACAACAAGCTTCTTAAACGCACCTAATCTCAATGCTTCTTCAACCTCAGACCCATCTCCACTTTTACAAATCTTCCACATCACTGAAACCAAACTCTTCTTCTCAGTGATCTTCAAAATCTTCTTCACCAAGATAGGTATCACCAACTCGTTTCTTCTCACTATCTCTCTTCCTTCGTTAGTATCGCAAACCGCGTTTAAAACCATTAACGCCTTTTCGCATACGCTGTTGTCTGAATCCACTAGCATCTCCACTGTTATATTCACAAGATCCAGTTCAAGAAACCTTGAAACGGTTTCTTGATTTGCCAAGATCATGTAATGGATTGAGATTAACGAGTTGACGCATATCGTATCGCGAGTAATCGATTTCAAGAACGCTTCTTCGACGCCATTGATCTTTGTTAACGCGTGAACATGAGCTACGTTAAGCTCAAGAAGCTCTTTAACAAGAAACGCCGCGTTTTGATCGCCATTTCTCAAAAGCTCCACCAACCTACTAAACGACGACGTAGACGTAAGTTCGGATTGACCTTCTGAACCAATAGGAGACATCCACGTAAGCACAGACACAATCTCCTCCAATAATAGAGTAGCGTTTGCGTTTCCGGAAAACGCGTCGAAACAAACGCAAAGAACCAATCCGGCGCCGTTTTCCCTAACGCATTTTCGGTTCCTCTCACTCTCTTTTCCCAACTTCTTCAACTTCCCAACCATCTCGCCGCACACGGCGTGGTCACCACGCCGCGTTGCGGCGTACAACTTCTCGCAAATCTCGGAAACTTGATGACTCGTCACGGGTACACGTGGCGTCGGGATTCGTTCAATCCCGCCGCCAAGTGACGACCCGCACCAACCTTGAATCATCCTCCTTATAGTATGATTCGGAATCTGTTCCAAACTTGACAAAACAGTATTAGTAACAGGACAAGTTTGGTAACCAGACTCAAACCATTTCTCAATGTTTTCACGGTCGTAAGTGATCCCTGAAGCAATAATCACCGGATCTTTCATTAGCTCATACGAAATCGGGCATTGAAACTGCGACGGGATCGCGATTTCCTCGTCTTCCGAGCAACTCGTCGCCGGAATGATCACTTTCTTGGTACCTCCACGACGTCTTACTCTCAATGAAAGTCCCATTCTTTGACTGTCTTCTTTGGTAATGAAGAAACAAGTTGGGACGATAACATTTATATATGTATGTGTACATAAAAACTTAGGGATATAATAAATGTTATATATTTAAATTAGTCACTATCGTTATACGCTTCTCGAACGCGAGTTGGGTCAAAGTTAATATTTTAGGTAAATGATAAAAAGAAAAAAAAAAAGAATCACGGGAAAAATGAAATATGAATAATGGAGAAGGTTTATGTCATATTATTCGCTAGCTGTTAAAGAATCGAAAAAATTGACCGTTGAATGTTTGAAAAAATTTAATGATATTGACAAGTGACTAATAATGTAGATATATGAAAGAAAATATATGTATTAAAAACCAATTCTTGGGTTGGGGTTTTTTTTTTTTGGGAGTTGTATGACTAGTGAAAATCTATGAATATAGTATTTTTTTCATTAAGTTTAAAAAATTTTCATTTAGCATTTTTTGATAAAATTATTTAACTTATAAAAAAATATATATATATATATTCAACAAATTCTAATTTAACCCATTATATAAATTTCGGTTACAATTATCAAAAGTTAAAATCTAATTTAACCCATTATATAAACTTTCGGTTACAGTTTTCATAAGTTATGGTAAATCATATATCATCAAAATGAAAATTTCGCAATGAGGAGAGTAAGTCTACTCTTAGAATATAAAAACACTGATGAATGATGAGATTATTCAATTTTTTTTTTGAAGATACACATAAGAGTTTTATTGCATATTTAATCCAATTTAGTATATTTTGTAAGCTAGGAATAAACTTACAAAAAAAAATATAATTTAGAGGGGTATTCTTTTTCCTATGACTCGTGAGAATCCATAGAATATAATTTTTTTTCCTATTGTTTTAAAATTAATATTTTAAAATAAAGAATAAAAATGTGAACAATAAGTTACCCTACGTAAATATAATAATTTAAAACTTTAAAAACATTGAAGTATGTAACCACATTCATAAACTATTCGAATTGAAGTTGAGTGTAAAATTAATCTAACTTTTTTCTTTCGTAAGAAAATTTTTAATCTAACTTTGTATGTTTAATCTGATCATATGTAAGTTGAGTGTGAATTTGAAAAATGAATCATTCAAAAAAACTATATACATAATTTTTGGAGTCGTGATTTGCGAGAATCCATATAATAGAGTAGTTTTAGTCTTTAAATATTAAAATTTATGATTATAAAAAATGAAGAAATAAATGTGAAATCGGCTAGTTCTAGAGATTGACCAAGTCAGTGGTCAAGACTAAAGAGTCGGTGCATGAAAACGCTACCATGCGCATATGTTTCATTACGTTTTACGTTCTTACCTGATTTTGTTATTTTTGATTATTCTATCAATCAAGCTTGAGATTGTATCACTCTGTCCATATCTTTCCTACTACTTTTAAATAATAGTTAAGCAACACGGCAACACCTATCTCCAACTCATTAACCCGATCTTAATTTGTACTTAGTTTTTCCAGCTAAGTTAATTAACTATATGTGTGTTCGACCATGCACGACCAACAATATCATCATCTCAACCAAACCATATTTATCTATACTATAATCTTAGGAATCGACCACTTGATGATATTAGAGGATATAATACCATAATTTCTGGGTAGGTGATGAGGATTCATGTTTATTAGACGACGACATAATACCGAAATGGCGAATTATGTTTTGATTGTTAACATAAAACATTTTTGTTAGTGAAATATTTACATTCTTAGTAAAGTAATAAAAAAAAGATGAGAATTTATGTTTTAATTATTCGATGGATAACTTGAATTTCGAACAAAAATAAATTTTTCGTCAAACTTTTGAAGATACGATGCAAAATAATTATATATTAAAAATTTTAAATGTCTTGGTTTAAAAATTTATTGATATCGAGAGTTATGTGTTCAAATCATAATATATTCTTTTAAATGATATATTTACATTTTTAGTAAAAAAAACAAAATGATGAAGATTCATGTTTTATAATTTATTTGATGGGTAATTTGGGTTTTGAGCAAAAAAATAGTCAAACTTTGTTAGATGCGAAATAATTACATAATAAATTATTTTTGTAAGTCTTTTAAGAATTTATTGATTTCAATACTTATTTGTTCAAATAATAACCTATTAGAGTCTTTATACACTCTTTTTCTATTTGAAAATTTCTAACATTTATGGTTCTTTGAACTCAATATTTAAGTTAGTCGATGAGATACTTTCCTATATTTTTCTTATGCAAAACCGTTATAGAAGAGTGTTTCTCTATACTATCGAATACATCAATGAACATTTTTTTTTTTGAATAATCAAAGAGGTTTGGGGCCGAATCCCATACATCCCCTCATGCCCGAAATCAAAGCATGTTATATGGTTTTAATGAACGTATTTGACTTGCAAGAAAAGGTTCGAGCTGAATGTGCTATAAGAAATCATCGTTTTGGTCAGTGAGTTTGTGACACAATGAGATCAATGAACTATGTTACATTCCTTGTTCTTCACATGCTCGACAAGGTTATTACTAAGATCACATTTTGACTGTGACTTGTGTGAAGAGTGGGCTTTAATTGTTGATGAGTTGGGCTCTAGTTTTGTAGAGTTGTCTAGTGGTTTTTTCTTCAATTCCTTGAGATACGTAACTTTCTAGAGTCTTCTCTTTTGGAGTGTCTTGTGTTGTGGTCTAAAAACATAATTGAGGCTATTTGCAAAATTCAAACGTAACTAAAACATCACCCACTACGAAGTGAATTGGTCAAATAGTTTGAAAAGAACAAGAAAAAACAGTTGAAAATTGAAGAAATGTTTGCACAATTTCGATTTAATAATTTTACAATAAAAGAATAATTTATAATGGAAAAAGTAGAAGAAATCAATCTGTGTAATCGAATGTCTAATTTTTCAAGTCATCTAATTTAATCATAGATTATTTTTTTCTTTCTTTTATTGTGTGTACCATATTTTTTACTTTCATATATTTTCCCCCATTTTCTTACAAGATTTATTAACTTATTATTTTTATTCTCGATTTCTTTTTTGAACAAATATCATAATAGGAAAAAAAAAATTCTACTATTTTCTTACGATATCAAGCATAGAAAATCAAAAAATTTCTTCTAATATTATTTTGTGTACTTGAAAAGTATTTGCTCCTAAGTTTTATTTTATGTAAAAAATGATAATTTAATTGAAAAGAGAATAAGGATATGTTATTTATTTAGTACTCAGTCACAGCAAAAAAAGTTGTACTATTATGTAAAATATGTGATTAACACTTCTAAATTGTCTGTTTAGTTGTACTCTAAAGTATGAACATAGTATTCATCTTTATTTGTTCTTTTTCTTTTAGGCCATAGTACTACTAATTACAAAACGCGTTATATGAAGAAAAGAAAAAAATAGTAAAAATATTAGTCTTTTCAAGATTTTAGAGCTTAATACAAGTTTGCTCAAATCTAAATTTAATTGTGTTATATATGAAAAATATATGTAATGTGTTTCTGTTTTCTTTAAGAGACACAAAAGTACAAACGTGTGGAAAAAAAATCACTATCTCTCTGTTCTATGTGCTGTTTTGTATTGTACTTATGTACAACTTTTATTTGGTAATTAGAATAACTGAATAAGTAATTATGCATACATGATTATGTTTTAGATCTCCAGTTCAATCAAGGCTTTTTGTTGTTCAAGTTCTGCTGTTTTATAAGCAGTAATAATTTGCTAACAAAACAAAAAAATATAATCTTTAAATAATGACATAATTAATAATTGTAGTCCTGACCAAAACTTTGTTTATTTCTTTGATTTGGTTGAACTGTTATCCTTTTAAAAAATATGTTTAGTTAAATTTCAAAAACAAATCATAACCAAAGCCATACCTAACCATCAATATTTGATTATGTATACTAAATTAAAACGGTCATAACCCAAAAATCCTAAAAAATCGAAAACCCGAAATACAATCCGAATCAACAATCTAGTTACGATAAAACCTCTACAAATTAATAATGTAGAATTGTGATATTTATTATTTTATCGATATTAAATGAACCAAAAACCAAATTTGAGATCGAAGAAAGTGCTGAATTTGTATCACTAACTACTAATTTAAACCAATATTGATATATATTATTTACTGAAATTAAGTGTAAGTTATAGAAACTAAATTCACAAAAAAAAAACATTTTAGTTGAGATCAAGTAGAGATGTCAATTTATAAAGATATTAGAAAACAAATGAAGATCCAAACAAAAGAGACAGCCATGTGAAGATGGATCCAATGCCCAACCTCTCTTTCTCTACCTCACTGTCATTACCATTTTCCACAAACTTAATACTTAAGACTTACAAAGTACACACGTCACCTTTTCTAAATCAAGAAAACAAAACCAAAAACACCAAACAACAAAATAATATTAAGAAAACTCAAATTAAGCCCTAAAATGTTACTTGCATCACAAGAAACATGAAAAGAATTGTGAGAGGAGGGAATCACAAAATATACAGAAGAAGAAAAAAAAAAAACAGATCTTGGGTTTGAGGAAGTCTCTCTCATTCATCGTCCATCTACTGAAGTGAAAGACTCAGCGAATCCGTAAGGTCTAGTGGGAATACTCATCTGCGTGTTGTCCAAGCTAGGTAAAAGCGATGAAGTTGAAGATTCAAGATCACTTCTTCCTTCATAAGCTTGCCATTTCTTTAGAGCTTGAGGCAAAGACATGTCAAGATCAATACCGTATATGTCTTCTGGATTCTGATCAGACGGTTTCCATAGCTCGACTAGTGAAGATAGAATGTTGACTGCGTGTCCCATGTCTGGTCTCTGGTAAGGCTCACGGGCGCAGCAATGGCCTGCTAGTTCAGCAACTGTGTGAACGCTGGCGAGTGTCTCTTCGTCAAGGTCTATTGTTGGGTCGATCGCTTTCTTGAATGATGATTCTTTGTTGATGTACATTCGTTTGAACCAGGAGACTAAGTGAATGCTC